ATGAAAGAGAAATTATAAATTCCAAAACCCCACTATACAGCATTGTGATTCATTAATGAATATCTAGAAATTTCTATTATCGCTTGAAATAAATATGATATCATTAAGTAACAAAAGATGGCTTTTCTAAGTCAAATGATGAATTTATTCAAATTTTAGCTGGGTCTTCAAGTACTCCAATGACATCATCATCTCTGTAAAGGTAATACTCATTTTCATCAGCAAGCTTGATCTTTTGGCCTGAATATCCAGGAAGGAGTACGGTTTGACCAACCTTGACTACATTTTCTCTGAACACTCCATTGTTGAGCAACAAACCTGGTCCTGTCTAAACAACTTCTCCGAAGAACTGTTCATGCTTGGCTACATCAGCAATGATGATTCCACCTTTGGTCTTTTGAAGAGGTTCAGCTTTTCTTACTAAAACTCTGTTAGCAAGTGGGGCAAGTCTTTTGAAGTGAAGCATTATATATTAATTTGTGGTTTTAGTTTAATATTAACAATTGAAACTAGTAATTTTAAATAATCATTAATCATATCACTGTTACAATCAATATAAATTTTAAAAGTATTCTCAGTGTGTCCATTTCTCAGCAGCATTAAACATAAATGATATTTTCTTTGGCTCTTGACTAGGATTATAGTATGCTGGGCCTGGCAGTCCTTTGCTTATTGGTACTGGGAATATTTTATTTTCATCTATTGGTATATACCCACCTTTAGTAGTTAAAACTTCATCTTCTTATCCTCCTCTTGGTGTGCTTATTTCATATTATCCGGGCCCTGGAACAAGATCCTTTGGTTTTCTAGGCATTACTGGTCTGCCGAATCTATCAAGGTTGTTTTCCACATAGATTTTCCCTTGATTCTTAAAGAAGGCCTTGCTTTTATCTTCAACCTCCTGCTCTCCAAGAAACTATGTAGGTATATCATATTTACCTGGCCCTGGAGCTCCTTTATACTTCTTGTCTTCAGGAGCAGAATGTGGATCATAGATATTCACTTAGATAATTTTCTTAGGTATAGGCAGTTTAAATGGCTTTGTTCCAGCATCTCTATCTCTTTCGATAAGATCAAAGCCGTTAAGGTGATCGTAGGAGTTAGGTGCTGGTTCATTAGCTGCCTAGTTAAGTCTTTTAGTAATAGTACTCCTATCTGCTTAAGATTAAAACACATTTTAACAAGCCTAGATATTTCCTTGTATTCTCTCTGGATTGTATGTTCCAACTCCAGGATATTATTATTTGAAATAGATATTGACAGTTATTGGTCTGACATAATTCAAAGGATTTTTCTCGTTGAAGGGTAGTGTAAATCCTGCCTTAGCATCTATTTTTGGCGCTGCTATATGTCGATCAATTTGCTGCGGATTATAAGAACCTGGACCTACAGTAATCAATGGATCAATAATTTGATGCATTCCTGTTTCTTTAAATCTTTCAGTCTTAGAAACAAACCCATTCCCTACTCCCTTTGTACTTTAACTTGCAGTTGAGCCTGTCATTACTGATGATTCAGCTGTTGATAAGGAATAGCTTCCTGGACCTGGATCCTTATTGAAAAGCTCTTTCATCTCCTAATTTGTATCAAATCTCTTGTTAGTCGCATTAAAAGACTTGTTGTTAGCAGTTTGGGTATTTGAAATAAATGAGGAAAATGGCCCTCCTTGCTCATAAAATTTATTGCTCTATCTGCCATATTAAGATCGGTTAAATATTCTATTAGCGGATTTAGAGGATGACACTCCTCTTGGCTTGTTTATCAATATCCTTTGATTTTTTCCTGGAATAGCAGGTACACTAGATGCTGCAGTTATAAATTAAGACATTTTAGGTCCTTGAATCGATTTGGTAGAGTTATTGCTAATTGACCGTCTATTCTAATTCTAATGCTGAATGGTCGCTAGTTAATTAGCATTATTAGAATAAGCATTAAGATTTGAACTATAGCCCATGTTTTATTGACCACTTGTATTCTAATTGTAATAGTTTATGTTATTGCTAAAGGTGTCTGAACCCATCATGTTATTTTCCATGTATAATTAATGATTATGTTTTTAATTTTGAGTCCTGATAAAGGGAGAATTATGATCCCCGTGGCCAGAGGTCTATCTCTCATTGTATATAGGAGAATGAACTTATGAAATTTGATCATTGATACCTTAAGCCGAGTAATTATTTGAGGCTTATTAGTTCATATTTTACGAAGTCTTATTTATCATAGACTTTGTTATCGATGAAACATCACTACTCATTTTTATTTTTATTAATTTCTTAAGAATATATTGTGCATCAACTCTCTACTCCTGGGGTTTTGGGGTTTTGGGGTTTTGGGGTTTTGGGGTTTTGGGG